CATCGAGCTGGTGGTACCGGACGCATTTTACGTGTACCCCGCGTTTCAGCAACATGCTGAAAAAACGCATGACATCGGCCTGATCAGGCTCACTCAGCCGCTGCATCTGCGCACTACGGGTCGACTGGATCGGCGCATAAACACCATATGCCTGTCCAGACAGCTCACACCGGACGGCACGCCATACACGGCCCAGACGTTTAGAGGTCAGTACGCAATGGCCAACGGCTTTGGCTACTCCGGCACCAATAAGGTAGACCGTTTAAAAATGGGCTGGCTAATTATTGCTTCCCAGTTTTATGGCGATGATTTAAAGGCTAGACCCGCGCCCCGGTCTAACGGTACCTATGTGTGCCAGGTTAGTTTCAATTAACTAATTGTATCGTTATTCTAAATGGTACTATTAATAATAATTTATTATTCAATGTGTATTATTGTAATATTGTTTATTTATCAGGGTGATTCCGGTGGTCCGTTGGTACAGTACGTGTACGGCCGGGCGGTGGCCGTAGGAATATTGTCAGGCGCAGGTGGTAACAAAGACAAGTGCACCATGGCTGATACTGATTATATTAATTACTCTATTGTATCCAATCATATCGATTGGATTAAGGATATTATTAATCGATTTACCTAAATATAATTATATTTTTGTGTATACTAGCAAGTAAGTATAATTTCCAGTCAATAGTTAGTTTTGTGCACAATTAATTTTTTAAAATGTAATATGATTGTAGTTGTAGTTTGGTGATGGTAAATTTTGTTAGCACAATATGATTTTGATTCTCAAACTAACTGTTTATAATATTTTATTTAGATATTAAAATTTTAATTTAAAATTCAGTTAATAATATAAGAATAATGTTTAATTAAATTTAATTAAAATAATAAATATAAAACATTTGAAACAAACTTATTTAAACAATCATGTCAATTACTGTATTCAGTTTAATTACAATATAGATAATTATAGTTAGAGTAATTATAAAAGCGATTAAAACAAGATTTATGTAAACCATAGACATAGCATTAATCTCAATTAGATGACCATATATTAAGGGCATTATCATCATGATGCAATCAACCAATATAAAATACGTTGCCACTACAAGCCCATTAAGCGAGGTAATTTGTTGGACCAGATGATAGGCAGCACCATATTGTGGACCCAAACCAATGCCAAATACTATACACGCAATCCATATAATGGTTACCGATTTGGAGGCAAATAATAGCAATATTTGCGATAATAATAGCAATAAAATTCCGATCGATATTATATTGAGTGGCCGTATATAACGAGCTAATGGTATGGCCAATGCCTGGGCAACAGCCTCTGCGACAGACATACCGGTACTAAAATAGGCAGCATGTTGTATGCTGATAGCACCTGGGTCAATTGCGGTACTAAACTTTGTTATATTATTTAATTGTGTTTCTTGGATTGCAAATTGTAATCCTTGTAATGTTGCGCACATAATAATCATTACAAATATGGTTTTTGTTGGCATTAATTGTAATTTTATATTTGAAGACAAATTTTTCCACAAATTTTGGATTCTATAAAAAATTTTATTGTTTTGTTCACTAATTGTGTTATTATTGCGATTATTAATATTTTCAGTGTTTTTGGGAATAAATTTTTTAAATACAAACATTAGTACAAAAGGTATGGCATTAATAGCTATTATGCAACCAATTATCACAAATGGTATCAAAAGTGTAGTCTTAATAACCGCTATATCGGCGGTCATGTCTTCAGTCGGGTCTGTATTTGATGGCAGATATGGCTCAACAACCAGTGGACCCACAATACCGGCCAAACTCGTCATAAATTGAATGCCTTGTATATATGGGCCGCTGTTGTGAACCCATATCTCTGCAATCCATGACAAGCATATTATTGCAATTCCTGGACTCGTTATACCGATTATAGCAAACAATAAATACAATAAACCAATTGATTGTGTGTTTGGTATAAATGCTGTCGAAATAGCCATTAATACTAAACACACTATAATAGCTATCGGTTTGTTTATACCTTTCCAACCAAAACCTTGTTATATGTTTTATAATATTTTAAAATATCAATTTAAGAGAGAGAGAGAGAGAGAGAGAGAGAGGGGAGAGAAGTATTATAAGTTATAACAATACATAATATTCAAGAAAGTAAAAAGGTGATTACAAGTGTCACACGTACTGTGTTCATAGTTGTATGGCAAAATTTATGTATTTATGCAATAATTACAGGCTTTTTACGAAAAGGTAAAGATATAGTAGACTAGAATAAACAGTATATGCGGCACAAAACAAAGTAAAAATATCCGAATCCAAAATATTTCATTTATGTATTGATATGTACTGTATGTATGTGTAGTCGTTGCGATTGAAAATATGTTCAATTAAATTATATTATTTTTGCTTTTTGTGGGCCACAGGGTTGATGTGCCATCACTAATGTTGGTAGCAAAAGTTATGACCTTGGTGGTTGAGCTGGTAATACTATTAACACTTTTTTATGCCTTTTTCTATCTAGCCTTACATTTTTTGCATTGTCCTAAAAGTATTGATATTTATTCCATTGAGAAGGCAATCAAATTTTTACTTGCTAAATGGTTTTCACTTCAGTTTAACTGCAATAATCATAAATTAATAAAAGATTTAAACGGTTTAAATATTATAGACCAAATATATACTGTAACTAATGGTTTATTTCACCTTAACCATTTTTCTTAAACACATTTAAATGATGTAAAAAGTTTTATTAATGTTATTTTTATAATGCTTTTTAATAATAATTAATAATATGGTTATTAGTAGAATATCTATAAAATGCATATGATCAATTATTTGTATTAATGTTATAAAATAGTTAAAGCATTAAGACCAAAATAAACACGCATTCATAATCATAATGTTGCATTTAATTTAACATTATTCCTATAAAATATAATGTATTAGCAAATAAAGTGAATGTACTTATAACTATTAAATTGTTATTTTTAAAACTAGTTTCATATAAAATAACTAAATATAATTCACTTGTAACTTTTATTTGAAGTTATTTATTTTATTTTATTGAAAATTTACTGTACTTATACTTTATGTCAATGTCATTTATGTCATTATTAAATTTAAAAGTCCATAGTACAAGTCAACTGTATAGGTTAATACTTATTAATAAAAGTCAATAAGGTAGATACAATACTTAATTTAAATTTTAGTTTTATACTTTGAATAAATTATTCGTGTATCATAATTATAATTATCATAAAGTAATTATAATAAAAAATGTTACATTATTAATGTGTTTGAACTGAACATAACATTTATTGTAAAAATTATTCCGATTCTACATTTACAAGTCTTTTAATTAATGGATAAAATAATCACATTTATGGATTATAATTTGTAATTAGGTATCATTATATCTACATGAAAATTAATGTTTGAATATGTTTAAATAGCAGTGTTTTGTATTATGTTAATAGGATGTTTGTTAGTGTATTAAATATTATTCAATATTTAAATAAATGTAATTTAACTTGAAACTTATTAAAATTGAAATATAAATTATGAATTTAATAAATCCTATGGATATTGAGTACCCGTTGTATAAGAATTGGATATTTTATAGATTCGATGCCAACAATAGATATGTCAACAAAACTATACAAAACACTCAAAATTGCAAAGTATTTGCTGTTTTATTAATAACTATTTTTCACTTAACTAGATATATATTTTATTTATACAAAAGTGATCCAAATAAACAATTACCTGTTTATTACTTTGAAATCATACAATATTTAGGAAATCTAAAGGAATTTCTATATATTGGAGCAATTATTTCACAAATATTAATACTATTATCAATTATAACACTAAATACTCGTAATAAAAGTGATTATAAATGGTTTGATATAATATCGGCTATTAATGGCTATCAAACGTTTGCGTCAATCGGTTTACGCGATAAATATTTAGCTCAAAAATATTATAATAAAATAATGTTTATTAAAAACTTTATTAAACGTGAAATAAAGTTATTTGATTTAAGCTTGGTGTTAGCGTATTCTATATTAATCGTGATCAATTCAACTGATTTTATCATTGCAATATATTTAATGGGTGCCTTCATAGCGTACCTATTAATGTCTTGCGTTTATACCAGGGTCAGTTGTTATATTATATTTTACTACCTTATGGTATGTTATTTTATAAAATATCGTATCAAAGAATTTACAACAAATTTAAGTAAAGTCGAGACAAAATTTTGTTTATTAAAAATTAAAACAATTAATAAGATTATTATTAAACACAACAAACTTTGTTTAGATATTGAAATGCATAACAAGTTTTGGCAAAATATTAATTTCATTATTTATTATACATTATTTCCATTGAATGAAATTGTTTTTAGCGTATCTTTTAATCAAAATATATCATTGAATGGAAAGCTATTTATGTTTAGTTTTTTATTAATATTTCTTTTAATACTATTTGCACTCAATATAATCACATCAGATATTAATTATGAAATTACAAATACTTATAAATTTTTACATCGATTTTATTTTGCGTGTAATTGCCATAAGAATATTACTTATAAATTAAAGGTTTGCATTATTTTAATTTAAATAATAATTAATTTCTGTTAAGTAAATGTATTAAAAATATTGTTGGGTTTCATTAATAGGTATTGAATAGTATGTGTCGAGTGAGTGATAGAAACAAATTGATTGGCTTTTCGTGTAGTAATCAATAGAGTGACCAACTGGTCCTTTTTTTCGGGATAAGTCCCTGTTTGACACATTTGGTCCCGACCAGAAAATTGTAGTTTTTTATGAGTGAGTGAAAGAGAGAGTGAGAGAGAGAGAGAGAAAGAGAGAGAGAGAGAGAGAGAGAGAGAGAGAGAGAGAATATGCGCAAAACCATGACATTGTTTTCTCCACTGTTATTATATAACCATTGAGTGTTTGTTTACCAAATTCTGTGCGCATTTCTCTACACACAGAATATACGAGAATCAAAACACAGAATATTCTTGACCTAGATATAAAATACTGCATAACCTATCCGCATTACACAATAAGAACCCTTTAATAATTTATAAATTAATTAATTGCAATTAACAAGTTTAAATAAACAAATCCATAGCTATCTAGATGGAATGCGAGTGTCATAACCAACTTGTTAAGTCAAGGTATGCGACATAAAAATATACGCTAATATTTATCGAAAATGTTATTATATTTATAAAATATATAATTTAATCATGATGTATTATTATTAAAAGTCGTGACCATGCTGAAACCAAAACTGAAATCACAGCCAATCCCAAGGATTCTGTCCGTAAAGACCAGAAACAACAGAGCAGCGAAAGTATGTACAAGCTTAATGACCATGGACAATTAATTATTTAAACTATATGTAATTAATGCCTAAATTAATTATAAAGGTAGCGATGATAACCCCGCCCGTAACTGCCCACCGGGATTGGAAAGTCTAATTAAGCTTGATGAAATTCTGGTGCATCAGAAAATTACGCTAAGTGAATGTATTGTTAATTGACACAATTAAATTAGTATAATACATTAATTAAGTATATTATCACAATAATTAATTAGCCATGTGCGGCTACGAGACAAACAACCGGTATCATATTAAAAACCGAGACATGCAAAAACTGTTTTACGCCCGAGAAAGTAAGTACACCATTTGAATATAATTTATAATTAACCTACTGTATATTTAGTACAGTATTAAATTTAAATCATGATCACTCCACCCCCTATCACACTGCCCCCACTCCACCCCCTCTCAGAGACCAGTAGCTGTAGCCGTCAGTGTTGCGGATCCTATCGGCCGTTTGACATGAAAATCAAAGACAGTGGCGGAAACGAAGTCATATCACTGTACCGGCCCTTCCAGTACTGTCGACAGGTATAGTGTATACAGTATATTGCAATATTGTTGAGCATTATGGTGATAATTCCCAATTAACCAAGCAATTTATCCAACTATTTGAATTGCTAGAAACTGGAAGTGGTCGACTCGACCGGCGAACTCCTGGGCACTATCCGCCAGGACATGAAGTTTGGCCTTTCAAAGTTCAATGTGGAGAATGCCGATGGTGAATGTGTAATGAAAATCAAGGTTAGTTTTATGTTTGTGGCGATAGTCACGTATGCCATAGCGGAACAATGCACTTAACAATGCACTTTAAGACTGAGAATCAAATGTTTTTGAGCCATAATTCAAATCCTATGTTATTGCCAGTGAATTAATAACGTAAATGTGTTCAGTTTTTGACCTCGATTTTGGGGTTAGGATGGGTTTGAAAAGTTTTGTCTAACTTTATGAAATGATAATTTATTGCAAAATTTACTGTAAAATAGATTTCTTATTATATTCCGAGAAAGAGAGAGAGAATATGCGCAAAACCATGACATTGTTTTCTCCACTGTTATTATATAACCATTGAGTGTTTGTTTACCAAATTCTGTGCNAGAGAGAGAGAGAGAGAGAGAGAGAGAGAAAGAAAGAGAGAGGGAGAGAGAGATAGAGAGAAAGGCTGATAGTGCTGGATATGTAGTCTTTAATGAGCAAATTGGGAGAGGGATGAGGGATAGGGAGAGATCGTGGAGTAAATAAAAAAAGACAGTAATAGTGATGTTAAGCTCTGTGTCTATTACGGCAAATGTGATCTCATTTTAAATAATTATTTCTAATACGGCGTGTAATGTGAACCTTGTCTTAAACGCTATCCGTTTATTACATTGAATTGTAGTTTTTTATGAGTGAGTGAAAGAGAGAGTGAGAGAGAGAGAGAGAAAGAGAGAGAAAGAGAGAGAGAGAGAGAGAGAGAGAGTAAGGCTTAAGATATCATACAAATTACATTACAAACCATCATTAATTATACATCAAACTGTTCAATTTAACCTAGGCCAAGAGTTGTATGCCGTGCTTCAATTGGGGCGATGTGGACTATCCGATCTACTCGGCACTGGACGGCCAACGTATGGGCAAAATAACAATCCAGTGGTCGGGTTTGGGCCGCGAATGGATGACCGACGCCAACCATTTCGGTATCACATTTCCGGCCGAACTGGACGTCCCGATGAAGGCGGTGCTGATGGGCGCCTGTTTTCTCATTGTAAGTGCATTAGGGTTGTAGACATCCGGGGGCTGACACAGGTGTGACATCATATGTCCCTGATGGAATATTGTCTGTTTTTTGGGGGCATGATCAATTTTTCTTTGTGATATATTTACTTTATATACTTTGTAATTGTGTGTTTTGTAAATATGTGCTTGTTCATAACCTTTCTGTGCTATAGGATTTTCTATACTACGAAATCAATTAGAAAAAAGCAAGTATTATGTAAATCATCTCGGCGAAATTATTGGTATATATTTTTTTGTTTGTTTGTTTTGCTCTTGTTAATTATTTATATTTTAGTTTATTTGCTGTTTTATTGATGTTTTTATAAATATTTATTGATGTTATTGTTATGCTTGATTAACATATAAATGTCACATACTTTTATGTACACCTTAATTATGCTTATTAAATATAAAATAAAATTATTGTTTCCCAAATATATTGTGTTTATTAATATTTATTTAAATACGGGTGAGAGAGAGAGAGAGAGAGAGAGAGAGTTGTAGAATTTTTAATAACTGAAATAATTAAAAAATAATAACTTGTGAGTAGTATATACGTCTTTTGAGCTCCATTTCTTAGCTAGGTAATCTTAAGAAAACTTAAGAAATCATAAGAAAGCTTAAGAAATCTTAAGATATACATCTTACCAAGCAAAGACATAATATACACCTAGATATCTTGCACCTAAATAAAATGTACTTAGATAATTTGCACTTAGATAATATCAAAATCAAAAGTAGGAAGGTGGACTTTATGACGTCACACGCAAACAATACATGCTAATTAGAAATAAATGAAACTTTGTTGTTGTTTTTTTTTTGTTGCGCAATATATAAAGCGCTATTTTATTTTATAATTAAAAGGCAGTGCACGACTCTGCTATATTTTCTTATTTAAGTTTTAATCCAAAGTGTGCTCAATGGACATTTTATATGGACGTCACTTCCATCTTCTAGAGCGTGCTCTCTAGGTATTTATATTTATAGAGGGAGCACTAACCCCTCACCCTAGTTGACGTTACTAGGGTAGGCAGGACACGACCCCTGCATAGATCTTAAACAACATCCAACGTGTGTTCATTGGATAGGTTAGGGGCACAACTCCGCAATTAAATACATACAAGTCCATTTTGTGCTTATTGGACAGGGGCAGGGCACAACTGCTGCAATATATTTTAATACAAATCAAATGTGTGTGCATTTGATAGGGCGGTGCACGAGTCCACAAATATATACGTCATCCAAAGAGTGCTCAATGGATGGAAGAGGTACATAAGTTCTTAGTATCCATACGGGTAAGTCACCCCATCAATATTATAACGTTTATCCGACGTTGCCCTAAATTTTTTATCAAAATATCTCGTCTTAATTTGACTATGGCGATTTAAGTCAAATTGACGCTGCTGGACAAATACTGGATCACTTTCAGTATTAGTAGCCAAATCCACCATCTTCTCAAAATCAATATTTTGTTTAGCCAAGAAATTCATTTGAATCCCTTTACACTTCAGTTCAGATTTAATTCCATCAGGTGTTTGGACACTATATCCATAGTTCTTAGGTCCAATAGAGGCGAATTCAATACATTTAGAATCGTCACCATAATTTTTCACAATCTCATCAGTTAGATCGCCTAAATAGTCTCCACATTCAATCACAGGATCACTTATATTACGATAATATAACACAGAGTCAGTATCATGGTATAGTAAACTATAAGGTCTTATAGTCTCAATCTTATCCATCAATTTATATAATTTTATCCGGGCATATGCAGTAACAAAACAAGCAACGGTCAAGTTATATTTTTTAGCAATAGATTTATCCTCATCTAAATAATGCCAAGTTAGAATCATCGTATCATCGGTGACCATATATTCACTCGTTATTTCTTTTGATTTATCCAAAACAATATCATAATATTCAGACAACGAATTAATAATCACAGTTTGTGGTTGATTAGGTTTTTGGGCAAATTTTCCCCAAAACGAATTCAGCATTATTTTCGCTATCCATCTTAACGTCTCATTTTTCTCAATCTTAGCATGATCTAAGTCCACATTTTCTTTAATTTTATAATTATCAATATATTTTTTCTTATCATCTTCATTTTTACACCAATTAGGCCAGCCTGAGGCCTGCTGTTTTATTTTCAGCCACATATCAATATATTTAATAAATTTATTATGTTTAATATCACAGTTAAAATTTAAAACTTCATAAATCTCCTTAATTAAATATCCCTTTTCTATAGCTAGTTTTAACTCTTCAGACACCCATGTGCCAATAAACGATCTATCAGTACAGTTACACTCTTTAGAATATTTTTTAGCACACGTAACACATAAAGGGAACATTAATTTTTTATGTACCACAACAGGAAGAACAGGTAAATATAATTTCTTAGGTGCTATAACCTTACATTTAATTATACCAAAATAACTTTTTAAAGTATAATCAAAGTCTTTATTAATTACTTCCGGATGGTCTACAGGGTACGGAAAATATTTCAGCACATACGGATACAAACTGCAAAAATCAAGATACTTAATCTCTTCATCTTGGTTAACCGTTTTATAAAATTTTATATTATTAGTCCTACCACCAAAGAAAGCATCTCTAATTTTAATAGGACCGACGTTATTTAAAATCTTGTAATATTTATATCTATTGTTGTAAAATTCTTTAAATGTCAAATTCTCAGACAAACACTTTTTCAATTGACATTCCCATAAGCTAACAACAATATTAGTTTTTCTCAGATCATTTAATTTGTCAATTATCTGACAATTACGTTCGTTTAAGCTGAAAGACTTCCCTCTATTCACTATATATTTATCATTTCTATCAATAGAGTTTTGGCAAAGACAACCATGCCAATAACACCCTAAAAACTCATACGCCGTAGTTGTTGTTGTATCATAACCGTCAACCCAGTACTTTCCTACTCTAAATTCTCTTACTAAGTCTATCTTTTTAGTCTTTTCTATCCAATCGAGCCAACAATTACTTGATATAGAAAACACTTTAGACTTCTTATAACCAGAAACAGGTGTATTAGCCAATTCATTATCATTTAAAAACAAAGTTGTAAAAGTCTCCATAGCAATAGAAGCCAAAGTAAACGATCTTGTTATAGGATCAAGTCCTGTAATATCTTTAAAAGCCTCTCTAAATTTCATTATACATTCCAATAAAATCTCAACATCATTCAAACAATAATTGATCAATTCATCTTTAAAACACCAATCACTTTTTTCTAGCATAGTTTTATGCCACACCTCTATTTTATTCTTTTTATCAATAGGCATATACTCTAATCCAAAATACTTTAAATCAGGAATCGGTCCTATATAATTATAATTTATAGGTTTATTAAATAGATGAGGAAAATCACCTTTTTTAATAGAAATATCTAGTCCTAAAGCTCTAGGCAATTTTTCTAAACTTTGTAGGAAAAAGTTTAGCGAATCCAACATCTTAACATTACCACACCTTATTAATAAAATTTTTCGACCGCGTAATATTACATCTACTTTGTTATAATATCTGTTCCATAACTCTCGTAAAACAAATTGTGCATCATAACTACGGGCGTTATGTGCAAAGGCATAAATCATAGATTTATTTTTCTCAGCCAAAACAGCTAAATCTTGAAATAAATAGTCTACAAATAATTTTATACAATTTGATCCAAAATAGATATTAGTTTTAGACAAACATATAGGACAATCTGTATTACATACACATCTATCACATCTAACCTTACATATTAATAAATTTGGTAAATGCTCAAAATTTTCTTGAGAGCATTCAATATCATACGAAACAATAAACTTATTTACCTTATCTTCCGCAAACAAGTCACACAAAAATTTCGGTGTAAAATAGCAGTAGTGAGGCTGCTTGCAATATACAGAACCACACTTATTACAAGTATAATTTCCACACAAATGTCCAGATCTCTTTTTATAATTTAACCCACACGTAATACATCGGTTTAAATTCTTACATAGCCTATTACTTATATGATAGGCAAAACATTCAGTACTTTTAAATGACCTACAACAAGTATTACATAATATCTTCTCATTTGACAAACTATTACATTTCATATAACAATCACTACATTTAAAAGGACACTTGTGTAACCAAAACGAATCGTAACCATAGTGACAAAGATCACAAAAATAGACATTTCCATAGTACCCTTTAATATTAATAATAGCATTATAATGATCCTGATTAAACTGTATATACAGTTTATTATTATTTTCAGAACCTTTAAATATAATATTATATTTATTAATAGAGTCAATAACATATATTTGATACATATCTAACTTAGATTGTATAATTTTCCATTCATTAATTCCTACACTATTAGTTATATCAATACCAATTATTTTAGATAATTTTATTGCTTCATCTAATTGTTTAGGTCTATCAGACCGTCTAATATAATTCCAACCTTTTTTATCTAAGTTATTTTTATTTTCAAAGTGATAGATACAGACACATAACGCTCTTAAGGCGCACGAATTATCAGTATTATTAATAGTAACCATAGATAATTTACTTTTATTAACTTCATCTATAGTTTTAGGAGCCTTAGGGATCCTAACTTTACCTGACCCTACAATACCTTTCGTTAAAGCAATAACTAATTCAAATTGGCCTGCAGTAAAAAAGGCCTTAAAACTTTGAATAACTTTTTCAATACGATTAAATATAGTAACAATTTCAAAATTACTTACTTTAGTAGGTGCAATAAATATAGGCGTTTCCATATCCGGATGGACAAGAGAGACGGTGATATAGTCATCATCCTCAGCCGATTCCAATAGATGTTCAAACAATTCAGTAAACTTGTCGACAAATTTATCTTTTAAACCACTCAAATTTGGTTCAGTTTTTATATTATGCTTCAATAAGAACCTTGTCTTATACTCCGTTCTTTTAAACTTATCGTAAGACTTGGTCGAGTGTCCATTGACCACAATTAATTCC